ATTATGTCCATGGAGCAAAACTATTTTTCTTGTTTAGTGAGAGGCAATTAAAACCAAAGTCTATCTGACAGCGGCATTCACAGTGTCCAGAGAGTGCTGCTCTCATTTGACATCCCTCTACTTCTGAAAATTTTATCGATTATGACACACTTAGCTTTGAAAAACACCAGCGGACCAGTGGCTTCTCGCCGCCACACTCATTAATGAACACAGATAATTACTACCCAGATAAGGAATTAAGGATCGTCCTTGAAGGTCAAGCCCAGCCCCTGCCCATCACTGGGCACGCGCAGCTGTTGAGACGCCAGTCTTGAGCAGCTGTCCAACATCTCTATTAACCTGAGCAGAGCCAGTCCATCCATAAAGCTGTTTGGGATATGGCAGTGCTCAAGGGGCAGAGAGGTATTAAGCATAGATTTACAAGAATGAAAATGTCCTCCCTCCCTCATAATCTCTGGTCTTTTTACACGCAAGACAAACCATACGCGCATGAACACACACACACACACACAGTCTTATGTAATGTTGTCAGCACGCTGCATTGGCTTGTTTGGACGCACCACATACACTCTGCGTATTGACAGAAAGCATGCACTGTCACTTCTGAACTGACTTCCACTCACTGCTCAGACTCATGCATAAATTTAGACCTTCTGCCACAATGGGACGTATTAAAATTATCAACAGCGAGGGTTTTTCCTTTATTGTGTGCTCATGAGCATCCACTTCATTTCACTGTGCTCCTCGCTCGGCGCCTCATTGCTCTTCAAACAGCGAGGAGGCTCGCAGCATGTAGTACTCTACCATGTAACTCAGGAATAGTGTTCCATAGCACATCAAAGCCTGTTTGAGCTCACATTCACCACGAATACAGTACAGCATTGTCAGTATAAGGAATGCAACCAAAAAGAGCTTTTATCAAGAGGAGTCAAGTGAAAGCTGATCTACTGAAGAGAAACACAGAATGACAGTAGGTCATATCATTACAGTAGACTGATGCAACAGCATATCTTCTTCACATGAGCAGACTTATTTGAAGTCTCCTGTAATCTCCTCAGGGTTTAAATTGAGTGGACACATCAACATGTGAATCTGAGTGCAATAAACACTGAGTCTTTGCGCAGTCAGAGCATATAAATATGTAAAAATGTTGCACTGATACCCTTTCCTTCGGGATTTGACTGAGGCATCAAACAGTCCAAATACATAGCTGCTCATCCTGGTGGCTAGTATACTGGATTTCCTCACATCAGATCCTTTAGGAATCAAAAGCGCGATCTTCACAGATCTCCAGAGCAGTTTTACTCGCACCACCAAACACTTCCACATTAGCGTCAATCCAAGGGACCACGTTGCCCGGCATGTAAGCCGAGCAGTTGGCCAGACCCATGATGTCCACAGGCCGCAGTACTCGGTCCCACATGTTGAACTGGCTCAGCTCGCCACACAAAAGCCTGCGTGGCGTCAAAGCGGCCTCCGACTATGTCCTTCATGGAGAAACAGAAGAGGAAAGTTTGTTGGAGTTAACTTGTGAAGGAGATGTAAACATACTCTATTTAAAATGAATCAATTCTGTTTGATTTTCATCAAACTGCCAAACGACTGAATTTTTCAGTGTGCTGCCTCTTTAAAATATCTTTTGAGTTGTGAAATCTCCAATACCATGCAACAAGCAGCAATCTCACCTTGTGTGAATGAAACATAAAACAGCACAGCCCTCCTTTGGCTCCAAACTAATGCAGTATGAGTTAATGGCTCTCTGTGGACACTATTTACACATCACAGTACATTTCATAAGTATATGCATGGTGCTGTCATGGAGCTAAATGCTAGAATAACCTGCTAATGGAACTCCCAAGGGCGTAAAGGTGCAGTTTAGAGATAGACGAATGAGGTAATCTGAAAGGGCCACGATGGCGTGAGAGGAGCCTCTCTGCCTCCTCTCCCCTGCTCCCTGCTCTGTGCCTCCGGCACTTAGCTCAGGGGAATACACAAGGATCTTTCTGCCATGCAAGGAAAAACACACACATGCACACACATGCACGCAAACACCACCACCTAAGCTTCTCACCTGCTCCTGGCCCAGGATGATAACCCTCCAGGTTTAATTGGGTGCCAGGGGGCCAGGTTGTCCCCTGTGCCTAGACGCTCGCCATCCTGGTAAGCCTCCCAGAAACCGTCTCTAGTTGTCCAGGTGATGCAGATGTGGTGCCAGCGCCCGTCACTCACTGACAGAGGGAGCTGGGCCACCTGGTCAGAAGTTGAGGGCAAAGGGTGAGTGTCACGAGGGGCAGGCCAAAAGCAAGAAGCAAGGATAGGACGGAGTACAAAGGGGGTGAGATGACTCAGGAGAGGATTGAGATTAATTGCGGCACGTTAGAAACAAGGAGAGCAATTAGAAGGGTTAGGGCTTCAAAGAGACAGCCCTCTACAGAGAATTCTCCAGATGAGCCAGTGCGACATATAAAATTTAGATTACCCAGGTGGCATCAAGGGATAGAACATCCTTCAAAGCAGTCGGCTAGCTAACAGCAAAACAGTGTCCTCTTACGCATTTGTGCTTTGTTCATACATCAAAGAAAAACAATGACATCATAGTCCCCTGAGAATACTAGATAGATACATAAGATTATGAGTGTGTAACTCATTAGCCTTCATCTCATGAGCCTACAGAATGACTTCACACTCATATCTTGTTGCAGATACAACTTCAGATACATGTAAACCTGAAAAGATAGAAGAGCCACTGAAAATAAAATACAAGCAATTACAGAGGCAATTGACCTGGTTGAGGATGCCAGTTGGCATCTTAATGCCACTGGGACTACAGGGAATACCAGTAGAATAACTGATTTGGGTTAGTCTGAGCTTCACCAACTGTTTAAAGATTTAGGATGTTGAAAGGAAAAATAAATTCTTGTCACACGTTCTGCAGCACTTAATACATGACAGCCATGATGATTTGCACACAAAGAGTTTCATGTCCACAAAACACCATGTCCACAGGGCATACACTACAATTAATACATGACTCATCTTCATTTAAATGACTATAAATGATCTAATTCCCAAAACTTAAAAGGTACAATTTTACAGTTATTACATAATACAATTTTTTTTTCTATATAGCCGTTTTTCAAATTGGACTTTTTGACTTGTCATAGCAGGGAAAGCACAGGTGAGCCAACAATGTACAATACTATGGCCTTAAAACTGGTACCTAAAAGTAATGCAGGTGTAGTTCTCCTGCCATAAAATGTCTAATTGGGTCCATGATGTATTTTACTTATCACAAAGTACTGGTGTTATAATCAAAACCTCCCAAATCGAGACCAAGTCAAGACCAAAACCAGAGTTTATCGAGACTGAGACAAGACCAGGACTTTTAGGGGCTGAGACCGAGACAAGACCAGTTCCCCACATTACATGACACACAATAAAATGTGGAACGAGATCACAGGTACTTCTCAAATTGATCTGAAAGATCCACATTCCCATTAAAACGCTGAAATCAACGTAAGCACCTTTAGTCAACACTCCTTTTCCACGCTTACCATCGCAGGGATGGGTGACAGCTGTTAAAGGTAACAACACATTTTTAATTAGGGTTCTTGGTTGCATTTGAAGCAATCCGTTTTACATCCAATCAAAGTTAGGATGTTAAGGATAGGATAAATCAGACAATGCAAAAGCAATTTACTGACATTCCCAAAGTTATGGTCTTGACATAAAATTCAGAGTCCTCAAGAATGAGTACAAATGCGGTCGAGTCCGAGACGAGACCACGACCACCACAAAGTGGTCTTAAGACTGGTCTCGAGACCAAGACCGGTCTCGAGTACTACAACACTACAAAGGACATATTGTTCTTCAGCTTCAAAATGCTGCAGACTCTCGAGATAAGTGAAAAATGTTTTTGGAAGGTCACATAAGAAGAAACAAAGTCAGTGTAGCATCTGCTTCCAAGCAAGAATGATAAAAGTTGTAAAGAATTAGCTCACATGCATGATGTCAACGCCAAATTGACATCATACATGTGAGCTAACACCAAACTTGTGAGCATTGGATTACACAAGCACACATGCGAAAATACTGCGATGGACTGGCGACCTGTCCAGTGTGTACCCCGCCTTTCGCCCGATGTCAGCTGGGATTGGCTCCAGCCCCCCGTGACCCTGTACGCAGGATAAGCGGTTGACGATGGATGGATGGACATGCCAAAATAACTCATTTTTAATGTTGTACAAGACCAGTTGAATCCATTACAGATTAAAGTCCTGGCAGCCACGGAGATGCCGTGAGCATGTTTTACTTGATTTGAACGATGGAGAAAAAAAATCATGCGATATCAATGATTTTCCTGAGCAAACAGACTGACTATCCTGATGAAGACTTTCTAACACTAGCAATCTCAGCACAGCCAACCACAAATGCAAAACGCAGACAACGTTGCACTTTTTAAAACTGTCGAGGCAGCTTTCTGCTTCCCTTTCAGTATGCAGCCAAATGAACAGCATAAACAATGTGACCCACTGGACCCTGTTATCACTGGGAATAAGTTCAACACATGGATGTGCTGCAGCACATATGGTAATCATAGTCACAAGTCTTGTCTCACTCTCCTCCATCTTGCTCACTTTTTCTCTGTTGCTTTCTTACTCCGTTTCTAGCTTCCTTTTTTCCTGGCATCTTCTGATCTTTCGTTCTTTCCCCCTCTCTCTTCTCCGCACTCTGTCACAGCCAAAGCTCTGCAGCTTTTCTATTTCCTAACTCTTGCTCTTTTTCTCTCTCATACTCACCCCTTTCTCCCACCATCTTTCTCTCATCTGTCTGACTTGAACACATGTATAATGCATGGTGAAGGGAAAGCTGGGAGGAGACCTGTCTGTGCCAATAACGTCCAATGTAAACAAGACATTGTTCATATTACTCATCCATGGAATTTTTGCACAGTCCTTGTTAAATTTCCTGTTCTTTTTTTAAAAGCATTTCTTTTATTAGTATTATTGTATTATTTTGTATCATTGTACATTTTTGATCTCTTTACTTTTTTATATTTACATTTCTATATTTGTGTTCATGTGTACCAATGTAAGAACCAATTCATACCTCGTATGTGAAAATGTACCTGGCAATAAACCTCATTCTGATTCTGATTCTAACATTCGGGGTGGGGTGGTTGTGTGATCCTCTCCAGTGCGACAACATTTTGCCAAAAAACATCCACCAAATCCAACATTACAGTGCTGCAGAAGCAACTGTGCCATCAGGAAATGAAAATTCTACAGCTTACATTGACGTAACAGTTACAATTATTTTCCTTGTAAGACTATTGCTATAAAACATTCACATATGTTTCTACCACTCTTTTTTCTGTTGAGTTAAGTGACATCCTGTAAGTTGACTGAATGTTCACAGCATGTGACTGTGCAGCAACAAAACAGTGTCTATGGAAAGCAAAGAAGCGTAGGCCTTCAAATGAGCACACATGGCAGCTTAATTTCTCTAATGAATTACTGTTATTCTCGGGTCTGTGTACTCTGGAATGTGGGTCAATGATATTAAATGTTTATAAGGTGCTGAATTAAATATTCAGAGCTGATGGTCAGTGAATCTCAGCTGTATCAGTATAGCGCTCACATGTACATACAGCAGCTATCTGCTTGTTTCACACCACAAAACAGACCAACACGAACATATTCATGCGTTCTTTGCATTTAACTAGCGTCATTGCTGAGCTACGTTTACCACCATCATTGTTGCCAGGCAAATAATAAATGATCCTGAGCTTTTACTCAAGTGCATCTTCCTTCTTCATCAACTCAAGGCAGAGCGAGAGAATCAGAGTTGCTCTTCTTTCTATCAATAAATAATTAAGCAAGGCTCCAGTTTCTCATTAAGGACTTACCTTATCATTAACTAGTAGTTCAATGGGATTGTTCCCCCATTCGATGAGGACTATCTCGTTGGCCTGGCCGGGCACACCGTAAGAGAACGGGGTTCCTATGCCGGGACTGGCGCTGGACTTGAGCCACATGCACACAGTGAAGGCGTACATTTCTGGGAGACTCTTTTTGATGCGTCCATACAGGTAGTTCGTACGAAGAGGGAGGGACACCTTGAAATCCTCGGGTGACTTGAAGGCATTATTACCTGTTGACAGATAATGAGGACATAGGGTTAAAATGTTCTTCTTGTGTATCGTCTTCATCTTCTGATGATGATGTTGAAGCTTGTAGTAGGAAGTGTTTGACTCGTGGTGACACAAACAGATACATGGAAGGGTAGTTACATTTAACATAACTATCTCCCTGCTCAGGGCTTACAATAAAGAATACCGGGAAGTAAGAAGCTTGTTGGCCAGCAAAGTAAACATAAAGCAAAGCAAAATTTGACTAGAGTGATGGTAAAGGCTGGCCAGCTGCTTCTAATATCACATCAGTGAAAAAACAGGTGCCTTTTAGCTGGCTAATTTATCATTGGTTTTGTTTGAGGAAAAGCCTGAGAATCACAAAAGTCAGAAGAATTGATCTTCTGGGGAACTATATGGCAAACGGCACGGCAATCCATTCAATAGTTGTTGAAATATTTCAGTCTAGACTCATCACAGCTCCTAAATGATGTGAGGATGTGAGAACTGAGAAACGGGAGAGAAAGTGGTTAGACTGGCTTACATACGTATGAGCATGTGATTGGATTAGAGAGGCACAGGTGGATGAAATTGGATGAGGCGCAAGTCCATACTCCATAAATGGAGTAAACATGGATGCTATGAAGATCATGAATGATCATGACAGAATGACAGACACAGAGAGAAACTGACACACATACGCATACTGTATGTCTTTGCAGTGGGTTTGCACCAAGGAAATATATTGCATATTTTAAAGGGAGTGAACCACACTTTCATCTGTGCTGAGCAGAGCATTTGAGGCTGAGCTACTGTTCAAAACTTCAATTTCTCTGGCTATGCGTTGCAGCTGCAACACTAAATGAAAGATTTACATTAGAGGCTCATGTTGGAAGCAGGGTTTGTCCATGCACAGTCAAACCACTTTTCGCAGAACTCCACACAAAGGAAGAGAAAGGAAGAGCATCATGTCATGCCACTACCTCTGAGCTCCTCATTCATACTGCTCCTCCAAAAGCTCAAGCTTCTGAGGATCATGGGGTGCTGGACTTTATCCCAGTATTCTTTATTGTAAGCCCAGAGCAAGGAGATAACTAGGACATGTTATAAATTCATTGTAGGGCTATCATTGGTAGAAAACACATTTCCAGCTGACAAAACAACACCATCAACTCCAGCCTCAAAAGTGACTGTAGAATTGAATCAACTCCTCTCTGGCACCACCATGATGTAAATGAAACTTAATAATGCTCACAAAGGTAGTATTTATTATGGCTCTATTGTGTTGACTAATTATTTTGAACATGTGTGTATGCCTACTGTAAATCTGAGCAATTAACTTTGATTAAACTTTGTATCCTCAAACACCCACTGACTGAATCGACGGTGCCTTGGGAGACATGTGCCTACAGGAAGTGTCCAGTGAGAAGTGAGATAATCTTCTAAAATATTTTTCCTTTTGGCAGAGATATATTTGTGTGTATGTTTGACGTCTACCATCAAAGTGATACCCCGGAGTGTGGACATCCCTCCAATATTTCTTAAACTAATTAAGCATTCAGTGTTGCTTTCCAAGCCTTATTTCCAAGACCAGGAGCTGCTCCGAGAATGGCTCTGAGAACAAACTATGTTGTGAGGTTTTTACTTGCATCATCAGAAATTTGCACAGGGATTGACTAATTAGTGTTAAATCTGGAAAAAAAACAAAACAACAAAAAGCCGACATTCCACAGCACCCTTTGTTTAAACACTTACTTTTCTCAAGCTCGGTGATCCTCTCCAGGAGGGAATTGAGAGTGCTCTCGGTACGTTGGCGGTGGGCCGCTGTTTCATTGTAGAGCTGGCTCTTCTCCTCCTCCAGCTCAGCCACCTTCCGGAGGAGCTGGGTCTCCAGCGCCCCCAGACGCTGTCGCAGCAGCTCCCGCAGCTCTGGTGGCAGGGGAGTCAGTGCCGAGACACCTCCAGCTGACACATTTGTGCTGGGGAGCCGCAAACTCTGCTGCTGGGAGGCAGAGTGGGAAAGATTGCAGGGAACAGCAGAAACCAGGATAGATAGATAGATAGATAGATAGATAGTGTTGGGGCAGATAGAAGTGAAACATACAAACAATGACAAAGACATTAATCCAGTTAATCCTGTGCACTCAAACAGGCATTCATTCCCCATAAAGACCTAGATTTGCAGTAGATGACTGATCTTATCTGCATTTTAGGTCTGATATCCTTTTATCTCCATTGTTTTTGATACAGCGATATCAAAATGAAGACAGCGTGTCCCTGTGGCGGACTTTGATTGGTGACCTGCCAACACCCATGGCTGCTCCGGGTATTAAAATAGGCCTTATGTGTGACGCTACCCAGAGTTCACACCGGGCGTGCTCGCACAATTACACAGGCCCACGCTTGTAGTTGGTGCTATCACATTGCAGCAAAAATGCCCGCAGATGTTCATTTCTAAAGCCGTGTTGATGTTGTTTGACTTTGTGACACAGAGTTTGAATAATCTTTCCTGACAAAATCCAACCATGTGAAAAAGCTCATGCAAGAGATTCCCTGGTAATCTGGCACTGAAGCAATTGCAAGGTCCTGAATGCAGCTGTAGAGGTATGCTGATGGCTTTGCTTAGTGAGAGAGGTCCTGCTCCAGGGAGCCATATGCCATCAGCCATACCAGTCTTGCAATAATCATTTTGTTAAGCAGATGCAGATCAAAAGATATGTGATTAAAATGGAAAATAATATGTATCCTCACATCTCTCTTTGGAGATTGATGTTTCCAATTGAGGAGAGGGGGAGAGGTGAGAAGGGAATAGAGAGATGGATGGATCAGCAATGCAGTACACTGTTTATAAAAATAACCTTTTTTAAAATTTAAATAAACAATCACAACATTGTTTATCAGGGCTGTGTCAGATAGTGAAATAAATGTACTACACTGTTGATATGACATAAGAGATAAAGCCCTGACTTACATCAACCTTCCACTGTATATAAAGCACTGCAGGTGACCTCAATATCAGCTGTGATCTCTGAGCCTTGTGGAATAAATGCACACAGCAGGGGGGGGGAGCTCTCCTGGAACTGAACAGAGGGCTGCTTGAGATGCAAAGCTCGCAGGTCAACAGGAATAAGAACGACTGAACATTGAGCGTTTGATGAAAATTAAAATTTCAGTGTTCCGATGCACGTAAACTCTGCGGAAATTAATTTCATCAGCTGCCATGATTAGTTAGTCACATGACAATGTGTCAATAAACGCGCGCGCGCGCACACTGATGAATTATTTACGGTTGCATTTCAAATCCCTGCACCACATGCATGCATGGTTACCCCTTATGACGATTTTTTTGTTGCTCATGTCTTATTGATGACTCTCATGCAGCTTGTTTCGCCATTAGAGATATCTCTTAATGATCACAAACGTGTTGACTTGACATGCCGATTACGTGACTCTCTGATCTCTGACGATTCTACTGAGAGGTCTCCTGCAGCGCGGAGTAGCCTATAATCAGACGCGTATTAGTCAGGCATATTGCTGGTGATGGGCTATGCTGAAAGACATTGCTAAGGTGCAAGCAGCTCTGATAACAAAACACAATACTGCAGTTGGCTATGTTGATGCTCATTAATGTAAGTGGGCTAATTAATAATGTTTATTTGGCGAGGAAACTAAACAAAAGTCATATTTCTGGCAAGTTTACGCAGGAGCTGCACGTTTGTGCCATCTTACCTCCAAGTTCTCCAGCCGACCCTTGAGACTCTGCATGGTCTTGCCCAGTTGATCTATGGTCTCGCTGGGGTCCCGGGGCAGGTCCCCCATGGTGTTTTTGCCGTACTCCTTCCGCCTGGAGCCCTGACCCCGGGGCTTGCTCTGTGACGACTCGTCGGCTGCCGCCTCGCAGCGCGCCAGCTTGGAGTTGAGCTCCTTGATGGTCCCCTGCTGGCTCACGATGGTCTCCTTCTGCTGCAGGATGGTCTCCCGGAGCTGGATTATCGTGTTCCGTAGCTCGTCCTCCACGGGGCTGCTGCTCTGGACACGGTTCCCAGTAGGACCGTACGCGCAGCCCGGCTCTGCGCCCGGGGGAATTGCGTTACAAACGAAGCGGCTACCTGTAGCATCCTGGCTTCGCACCGTGCATCCACTGACCAGATACAAAAGTCCCACCACTAAAGTGAACATCGCGACTAGATACACATATAATTCCACGTATTAAAAGAAAACAAAGGCTCTTAAATTACTGACTGAACGTGTGAAAACTACCGTAAAATAATCGAACTTATTTCAATAACTCATTCATTCAAGTGGTTGCGGGCATTTTTCTAGACTTCCAAAGCGTAATGAAAAGACCAAACTTAGAGTGTAACCGTGGGAAAAAAAACATACGAAAATCCGCAATGAAAAAAATATATCAAAATCATACATCCAACAACCACATGGTCCTATTTGAAAAATGAAACTAAATTCTTACTTTCAGCGGGTGGAAACTCGGTAGAATAAAAACCAGAAGCTCCTTTACTGGAAAAAAAAAAGTTGTAAGGATTTGTGGATGTAGAGAAAGAAAGAATATCCACAGAAGGTTGCAGAGAAGTCAGTTTTGCCTGTCTCGCCTCTCCGGTTGGTTGGATTGTCAGTGAGTGGTGCTGAAAAGACAGCGACGCTGCTCAGCCAGATTATTACGGGGATGTGCGCACTGACGCTTCCGCTCATCATCTGTGCGCTCCGGTTATTCAGCTTCAGCCCACGTCATCACTGAATCCCAGTGGATCCAAGTCATGCTATGTGTTCGTCTCATTGACTTTTGACAACCTACTTAAATGCGCTGAAGCTTAAAGATGTCAAACAGAAACACATTAAGAAACCCATAAGGGGTTTCAGCTGTTGCCTATTTTAGATGTATGGTAGGAGCCATCTAAGGACTGTTTCAGCTCCGTGTAGCTGCTGCAAATAATGTGGCCCTTGTGAATGTAAGCACCAAACAACCCGTGATTTCACAATGTGGTGTTTTGAGTACCGATTGATAACTCAACAGCTGTCTGGATCCTGCATTGGGGAAATGTTGCACTCTCCAAGCCCCGGGGAGTCTGATTCTGTTTGAACTAAAGGTCCCCCCCCCTTCCAACAAGGCACACTTGGTCTAAGGTCAAACTTTAATGATTTGTACATCCGCAGTTCAAATGGGAAATTTCATGGTGTGACTTGAATTAAAAACCAGCCACCACATTGCCATCTCTCATTCACACACACTGATCTGTGCATAAAAAGACTTTCATTTGCACCTAGTCTTTGACTTTCAGACATGTTGCTGAGCAGATTGATACAGTGGCAAGAAAAGTATGTGAACCTTTTGGAATTTTATGGTTTTCTGCATAATTTTGTCCTAAAATGTGATTTGATCTTCATCTAAGTCATCAAGGGTATTGACAAATAAAAACTTGTCTAAAATAAACAAAATAAATTGTGATCGCTCATGTCTTTATTTATCATTCAACATGGCAGTTGAAAAAGTAAGTGAACCCTTATTAATAATTGGTTGACCCCCCCCCCCCCAGCAGCACTAACCTCAACCAGGTGCTTCCTGTAACTGGATCAGACCTGCACATCATTCGGGAGGAATTTTATCCCATTCTTCCTGGCAGAACTGCTTTAGCTCTGTCATATTCTTTGGACGTCTCGTGTATTGCTCTCTCAAGTCATTCCATAGTATCTATTGGGTTGAGGTCGGGCTCTGACTTGCCCACTCCAAAAAGCGGATTTTGTTTTTCTGAAGCCAATCTGTTGTCTGTTTTGGGTCGTTGTCCTGTTGCATCACCCAACTTCTACACAGTTTCAGCTGACTTGCAAACATTCTCCCATTATCCTGAATAATTGTCTGAGTTCATCTTCCCCTCAATGATTGCAAGCTGGCCAGGCCCTGATGCAGCAAAGCAGGCCCAAAACATTTTGCCAATACCACTGTGGAGTGTCAATGTGCTCTTTTGCAAGGCATGCAGCAATGTTCTTTTTAGTAAGCAGTGGCGTCCTTCATGGTATCCTGCCGTAGATACCCTGCTTGCTCAATGTTTTACGTATTGAAGACTCACGAACAGAGATGTTAGCCAGTTCCAATGATGCCTTCAAATCTTTGGCATTGTCATTCGGGGTTGTTCTTTACCTCACTGATGAGTCTTTGTTGTGCTCTTGGTGTCATTTTGACTGGGCGCCCACTTCTGGTTAGAGTAGCAACAGTCCCAAAGTGTCTCCACTGGTGAATATCTAAAGTCTTTGAAATCACTTTGTAACCTTTGCCAGTTTCATGTAAATCAACAGTTCTTGATAGTGGCGCCTCTGTAAGCGCTTTTTGGTGAGGAATGACTCACATAAGCGTGTGCTTCTTGTGCAGAGCAAACTCCAAAAGTTTGAGGGGTTTTTACAAGTCCAAGTAGCTGTAGTCCACACCTCCACACTCATTTTCTTAACAAGACTCCAGGTGTGTTAAAACCTGACTCCAATTAGCTTTTTTGAGGTCTTTAACTCAAGGGTTCACATACTTCTTCCACAAGCACTATGAGGTGTTTTTGGTTGTTCTCAATAAAGACAAGAGGGATCAGAATTTATTTTATTCATTTTATTGGTCAGTGCCCTTGACTTAGATGAAGATCACATCACATTTTATGACAAATTTATTCAGAAAACCATGAAAATACAAAAGGTTCACATACTTTTTCTTGCCACTATATCTAAACCCACTTTTTGCTGCGAAAATATGATGGTTAATGCTGAATGGCACTGAGGTCATGCTGAATAAAATCATTGGCTCTGACTTTGCTATTTGAATTTCCTGCTAATAAATAATATAAAGCATAAAAGAATGTCTTTCTCTTAAGTGTTAATTCTATAGTCAGTACACTCTGCATTATGGAGGTCTCTCTGTGGCCTAGGTTGATCTCATTTAAGGATATCCCTTTCTTTTTCTTTGTTATTTTACTTTTCTATTAATTTTCTACTTTTTTTGAAACTTGCAGACCCAGTGAGTAACATACATTCCTTCTGTCAGGCTGACAGGGCATAGTGCTGCTGTAATTATTCTTTTTTTAAATGGCCACTTTGTTCATTGCTGATTATGAAGCCAGGAAAAGTTGCTGTAAATTCTTGTTTAATTGTGGTTCAGTTTGTGGCAAGTAATACTTGTGACCTTGGCCAAATAATACTAAGTATAATCCTTGGTGTGTGCTTTAATCTGGCTGGTAGGAGGTTATTCTATAATGATTAGATAACAGTTTCAGATGAACAAGTGAAAAAAATGGCAGGCCCACTTAATGAGTTATGTTTGTTTCAATTTCTCAGTGTCAGTTTCAGTCCAAGTGGGACAAATGTATCCACCCAAAAAGAGAGGCAGAGTATCTAAAAACTGTTCTATGAGACAAACATTTTCCAGTATTCAAATCCAATCCCCCCTGACACAAATCTCACCCCAATATCCTATTTAATGTGGAAACATGTCAAACCTTCGAAGAAAACTATGATCTCAAAGCCTTCTCAGGATGGGATCTCTTCTCAAAATAACCCAAAGAGAGAAAGAACAATATTTGGGTGGGGTGGGGGGGGGTTCTTTCAGCTGCCAAGTACACAGTATTGCTGTGCTTTTGCGTGTGCAAGGTTATTTTGACGTTATCGTTTCTATATATTTAGAAATCTGCAGGCAAACGCTTGTCACTGGTAGATGAAGCCTCTTTCCCAATGACAGACAGTATCACACCAGGATTTGTTTTGGGCTCCCTTCATGTTTTGTCAAACTAAGGCAAGGTAGCAGGCGTTTGTCAGACACCTGCTAAGAATTGTAGAATGTGAATAACTTCAAAGCCGTGACATTGGCTCAGTTCAGATTATTAGTGCTTGACAACACTGTTGTCAAGCACTGAGACATCTTTTTTCCCTCCAAAACTGCCTCATCAATCTTTATTTCCTCAAGTTGTTTCCCTAAAAATCTGAAGCCATGGGATAGTGATAGCTCATGCAGGACGCTCTCTTAACATGTTGTGCGGTATTACCGTGCCCCCCGCCACAGCCGCCATCCTCTATCTGTTGGCAGGGCCTGAGAGCTAAATGTCAGTTGCCATTAATGCACACTCAGCATACAATGCACACGCAGTGACTGGCGGAGAACGGCCGGTGAAGTCACTGCTATGGAAGGCAGTTTCTAATATGACAGGTCCCCTGGGAGAAGGCACCTGCAATCACCATGGCAACCTTATCTCCTTCCTGATCCCTCCCACCACCTCAGCAAGAGAAGAGCTGGCAGAGGTGAAGAGGGAGTACTGAAGACTGAGCAGAGATGACAACTTCCACTTCAAAGTTGATGGGATAAAGTTATTTCCCTTTCATGTTGCAACTGGTGAGCGCTGGGGTGAAGTAACTTTGCTTTTTTAATCGCCTTCAGCGAGGGTTAAGAAGTCAGCAGGGATTGAACTCTTATCCTAAGTTGAATTTCCCATCTAAAGTAATATATTTCAGACGTAGGTTGCTTTTCTTGGGACTTTACACAGGGAAATAAAAACATGGGCACTGATTGTCCAGTGTCCAGAAAAATAATAACAGAAACATTGCTCTCTGCTGTAATGAAATGCAATACAGTAACACTGAAATAAATACTAAATGTGTGTACTACCTTTCCTTACTACTCTTTCCTGGGTTTTGCATTGTATTGTGAGTGTAATTGTTAGAAACTCATCTCAATATGATACAATCCAAAAAAAAAACTGTTTTAAAAATTATGTTTAATTTCAGGAATATCTATTACACAGCCATTGTGTGAAAACATTTATTTTAAATTTGTACTGTACTCCTACTGTAGAACAGGTGATGTGATAGGTGTGTGCCTTCCTCATTAGACATCGCAGCGAATTATTTGATGAATATGAGATTAGATGAATATGCAACTGCTGGATATAGTATGTAAATGCATATCAGAGCACAAATTTACATTGAAATTAACCTACATACCATACAAGGTGATGTAATGGCACTATCTGGGCCTTAGCAGCTCTCAACACCAGCTGTTACTAACAGTGATTAATCAATGCTTTTGGATAAATTAACAATTTTAAGGGTCAGGGTCAATACTTCACGTGTCTGACATCTTACTAACAAGCATGTTATGACTTAGAGATCATCCTGTGTACATGTTCTTACTCACCATTGTGGTATTTCACTACTTTAGAGTTCCACCTCTTAAGTGTGATGGGAGTGCAGTGGATGCTGAACACTCAGCGCCTCTGACTGGAGCCACACTCACCTCACATGACACAGTCCCACGGCCGTTTGATCACTCAGCTAGTCACAGTATCCAATGGTGAGCATCTCTTCCTGTGTCCTCACCATCCCTCCGTTTCTCTTCCCTCCATGCGTGCCACCACCTGCTGCTGGCTACCTGCTCAGCAGCATTATGTGGCCAACGGTCCTGTGAATCAGAGTCCGTCAGAGCTGCCAGTGGTCCGAACAACTCCCACACAAGCAAGGACAGCACACACCCACTTTTATACATGGCCACATGCAGTACTCATGAACATATGCGTTTGAATGCAAGCAAGACAAAAGTCATAGAAGCACATAATAAATGTGAAATCTGTGAGTCAGATTTATTAATACGGTAATATCTTATTACACTTCAGTCACGTTTCTGGACAATGTGTATGCACACACACACGCAAACACACACACACACACACACACACACACACACACACACACACACACACACACACACAGCAA